TCTTCACTAGAACCACTACATCAATCCCTGGTGGATTGATCACCACAGAATTGGTTCACCCAGTAGAGCAGATATATCCTAGGGAATATTCTGAGGTGCTTGTGCACATTTACAGAAATAATATACCGTATTTTCCGGCGTATAAGACAACTTTTTATGCTAAAAAACATCCCCCAAAAATCGGGGGTCATCTTATACGCCGGGGCTTTTCTCGCCCCAGAGGACACAGACTGCGGAACCTCGCGGTCCCGCCGCCCGTGTACTCCGGGGCGAGAAAAGCTGCTCCGCGTCTCCCTGGTCTGCAGACCAGGAAGACGCGGAGCAGCGGAGGGGCGCCGGCAGCGGGGCAGCCCAGGCGCGCCGCGGCTGTCCCGCTGCCGGCGTCCTCGGAGGCTTTGCTCCCGGTGTCCCTGGTCTGCTGGAGACTGTCCCCAGCAGACCAGGGACACCGGGAGCAAAGCCGGGGAGGCGGAGGGGTGCTGGGGCGCTGCCGGTTGGCCTCTTAAGGGGGGGTAGTCTTATACGGCGAGTATAAGACGAAAACCTATCTTTTAACTAGAAAATTAGGGGGTCGTCTTATACGCCCAGTCGCCTTATACGCCGGAAAATACGGTAGTGTCAGTAAGGTGGTTCAAGATCACGTTGAAAGTGGTGAAGAAATGACAGTATTATTCTTAAGAAGAAATAAGAGTCTTTGCTGTAGAGAAACAGGGATTTGGGGTAATAAAATAGTCTGTTTAATTTCTGTTAAATTAGTTCTCCCTGATTATGAGCCTTATCAGAGACAGAAATAGCGAGAGTCTGTCAAGAACAAAGTTTAAATCAGTTAGCTTAAAAACTACATTAATCCTGTCTTAGCCACCAAATGAGGCAATCAAATTAAAAAATGATGTGCTCATAAATGAACTTGGTACAAATGTATTAAGTTATGACAACTGGAACACTGAATTTAGAATTATGGATCCCAAATTCTAGCAAATAAAAGTAAATGAATTTCTAAGGTAATTGGAATTTCTTTCAAAAATTATTTATCTCAGCACCATCTTTTACAGCTATTACAGAATTGATTTGATGGCTTTGTAATGAAATCCATTTAATCAAGTAGAATGTTTTACTAGCTAATGAATTAATATCATCTTGGTATTTATCTTATAATCATCAGTTACACTGTCTGCACTATTCCATTTTTCCCTCACATGATTTTATTGAAATATTTTGCATGTGAGCAATTAGATTATGATTGCTTTCATGATAGCCAACACCAGATCCTTCAGTTTTGGCCTTTCTTGGGATCCCAAGAATCTCCTCATTTCTTTGTTTTGGAGAAGTCCACTTTAGTTTAGCTCAGGTGTTAGGCATTAATTAAAGGAAACAGGACTCATGGGGCAAAATCTTGAAAGACCTTCAGTAGGATGGAAGCCCATTCATTTATGAATTCTTTTGAAAATCTGGCCCAACATGTCTCTCACCAAGACTGGAATGGTTAGTTTAATTGGTGCTCATTTTCCTCTATAAAATATATGAAGCCATGGATTATTACAGATCAGGTCCTGTGAACCCCAGATGCTTAAGAATGAGGTATACTTTATCATGGGGAATGTGTGTGTGCTGCTTTAGTTAACACTGATCTTAAGTAGATGGAATCAAACCAACCAAGTGTTTGTGAATATTTCCTTGAGCAGGTGGCCTGCTAAGAAGAGATCATAGGTCCTTTTACTCCTATTAGCTAATGAAAATTTTCCTTTAATTCATATCATGGGAGTTTATACTTTTGGTACTGAAGAGAGTGAGATCTGCCCACATTACATGCAATTAAATTATGTAATATATGTAGCCAGTCTATTTACAAACTCACATTTAATTACGGTTTCACTTTCTTCTTTTCGGAATCTGAGTCTTTCTGTCTTTCGGTCTTTCTTTCTTTCACTGTTTTAATAGTTGGACCAATTTCTTTTTGGTAAGAAAGACAATCTTTCAATCTACACAGAGCTCTTCTTCAGGTCTGGAAAAGTACTTAGAATGTAATAGCTGAATATAAGATTCATCATCTAGTTGAGCATAAATAGTTGGCACATACTGTAAGGGGACAGTTCAAGATGAAATGTGTGATAATTACACTCCTGTAATCCAAGGAAAAAGTGAGTTACACATTGTTGTAATAAGCCATGAATCCAGTTTTTTTATTAAGACCATGATTTTTAGTGTCTAGCAAAGGTTTGAATTTTAGCTCCCAGGTTCGTTTTTTGAAACTAATGTGCAGGTTTCCTTGCAGGCTGAGGACTGATAAGTCAGATGTAGAATGATCACCATGAAAACGGTTCACTCACTGGTGATATACGGTGCTTTGTCTTGTATCATTTTTCTGTGTGAGTTCATTCAAAAGTATAGTGATTATCAGGTTTGACGTACATAGTTGTTGATGCATTTACTGTATGGGGTGAGGAATACCATGCTGGACTTTCCTTCAGTGGTACTATTTCAGACAATGATTAATCTGCCTTTCAATGCATGGGATCTGTCTGTACCAGTCCCTAGTACTCCCCAAACACAGGGATAAACTGAGATCTTTACACTTGGGGGGGAGAGGGGAGGGAGAGGGTGTATCCATACTCTACTCTTCTATCAGATCCAGTCCTCAGAAACATCAGTACTCTGGAAGAAAGAATTTAGAGAAACCCATCAGTGGAAATTTCCCCCCTATGTCTACAAGTCAGAACATTCTTCCTTCAATACCAACAGCATCACCAATAGAACATGAGCTGATTTCTGACTGCAGTAATCCGCACCCCCTCTGAGAGAGAACACCCTGGACAGAACTTTTAGAAGACCTTGGAGCCATCCTCACAAGGGGCCCAAAGATGAGCTGCCCCCAAAATGCCCAGAGCTCAGAGAAGTCTATTGCCAGCCCTAAGCATTGGAACCTTGCTCTTTATTATACTTATTGGCACCTGTAGCAGGGCTGACAGCCGCCATGGGCTCTGGGGCGAGGAGTGAGGGGTGGGGCTCAGGGCAGTCACCCAGACTGCTGTGCGCCCTCTCCTCCCCCCTGCCCTCAGAGCTGCACTCTGGCACTTTCACAGCAATTCAGAGGGGCTTGGGACTCTGACCAGTGGCAGCCGCTGGGAGCTCTGGGCCCCTTTGCATCAATGGGCCCATGACAGCTGCTCCCATTGCCCCACATCCCCCCATTGGCAGGCCTGTCTCAAGAAAATGAAAATATGAATAAATTGAGAAGTTCCATAATGCCCAGTTGATCAACCGCTTAGGAAGGAGTCACAGAGGCAGATAACTGCATTAGCAAACCGCAAAGTCTGCTTTATTTTAGTACCTTGTGTGAAAAAAGGCACCAACATTTTTTAGACTTTGTATATGCATCTAACTCGGAGCCACTCTGCTTGTTTGTAGGAAATAGGACAGAAGACAGGTCATCTAACTGCTCAAATCACAGCTCTGAAAAGTAAAATAGGCAACTGGAGGAATGTATGTTTCTGTTTTGTGAAGGACTTCAGTATTTGGCCATGAGACACTTCTATCCCCTTCATGTGTAACAGCATTGTTTTCCATGAGTATGCACAACTCTATGCAGTGTAACTGCATGGGCAGTGTTCCTTGGGCAAAATCCACATCTCTGCACTGGGCCTGAATAGCAACCATGGCATGGGTGAAGAAAAAACAAATCCTCCTCAAATCTTTAATCTGTGGAGCTATTCCACAACCCCTACTGGAGCCTTCAGACCTTTGCGCCCATAATCTGCAGCAGCAATCCAAATGCAATGTTTCCGTCCTAGATCCACCATTCCCCCATCATTGTTCCTGATTTAATTCTTCTACCTTTTCTTAGGGCTGTAGGATAGAAAACCAGATGTAATGAAATTCTGCAGTGCCCAAAAAATGAAGGCCCCAAATCCTCCCATCTTCAGCTTGCCTCATGGTTCTACTGTGGACTTGACCAAACTTATGAGCATAACAAAAAGAGTAAAGTAGTTGGGGATGCTGCTAGATCCTGGAATAGGGGCTCTGTGAAAGCACTGAACCTTAACTTTTCACTTCAGATTCTCACTGAAACAAATTCTTTGACACTTAAGCCACATGAGATTGTGAATGAGGTCCCAATTCAAAGCACAAATATAGCTAACTTTTACCCAAATAGATAATACTTTTACTAGTTTTGTTTTAGAAATAAATGGCCTCACTTTGGAATTCATTACTGAATGGTAAGCACAAGCCAGTTTTTAAACTTTAATTAAGTTCCCATTTTTCTCAGAAGGAGATAAACTATTTTGGACTGTCTTCTGCAGCTTATGGGGATACTGAGCCTTAGATATAACTCTTTAGGAACAGGAGTCAGAATTTCCTCATGCAATGCACTGACAAAAAATAATTATAAACAGGAGTACATGCCTCACCTTTATCCTAAATCTAAGAATACATTACAAAACATTAACTAATTAAACATCACAAAATCCCTGTGAGGTGGGTTATTGCTAATATTGCCATTTTGTAGGTAGGTAAGGTAAAATACAGACAGACTGAGTAATTTGCATCAGTCACATAATGGTGTAGTTGGAAATTGAACTCACCAGTGCTGACTCCCATTCCACTACTTTAATGACTAACACTCATTCTCACTCATCTTATTGCAGTCACTCAAAATGCCTACTGGAAGGGAATAATAATCTAAAATGCCAGGCCCTCATTCAAATCATGTATATTTCTACCTTAATCCCAAAATAGTTTATTGTAAAATAATAGTTTTGTAATAAATGAGTAGTATATGATTTCTTAAGATTCTGTAGACAACTGGCAGATGTTTGCGCGCTGTAGAGATCTCCTGGAAACTAGTATCAAGGGGGGAGCAGATAAATTAAGAAGCAGTAATTTTATTTTCAGCAGAGGGCACTATAAATAAAGGAGGAAAGTGAATATAATTAATAATTGGAAATCTGTAAAGTATGGCATTGCTTTTCCAAAGGGTTTTAACTTTTGTTCTTTTTGTTCAGAGTCTTTGGACATATTAGTTATCGTTCAGACTGGGAGCTGGTGAAAGTAGACTTCAGACCATCTTTCCCCAGGGAGTGCACTGAAGATGACTATGAATCTTGGGATCTCACAGATCTACAGGTACTGGGGTACACAAAGATCTTGTGTTAATAATACATCGTGTTTATGTAATACTTTGATAGCCATTTTGTACTGCATAAACATTCATAATGAGTGTGGATTTCAGCACCCAGCTTTGACAGCCCTAGAGTGATATCCGGAAGGATGAAAATAGTCCATTGCTGTTTTTATCAGAGACTTCAGAATGTGTTAGTCATTGTACAGGGGAGAGATTTTTGTGTTTCTTTTATTACCTAAACTGGGCTGGGAAAGGAGGAAGTATATTTAATTACTTGCCACAGTAATAGGTGGTTGTGATGGAGTGTGAAAAGTTAGACACACACTGGAAATTAAAACTCATCTCACTGCTTGAAGCAATTTGAACATGTTCTGTCAACTATTCAACCATGAACTGTATTCACATGGAAAAAAATAGAAGTAAAACCAGAAATAATGTAGAATCTCAGTGGACTAATCATGTATTTGAGTCCAATTGATTTGGGCAATACAGTTCTGTACTAATACATTAATGCTATGTTAATCCCAGCATCCTGGCAAAATTCAATTTTGAGCAACTACATTCTCTGTATTATTCTCTTTACAGTGTAGTGTTTGTCTAGATCACTTTGTGATCTTTTTGGATAAAATGACATATATCCCTGTTTGTCATGATAGTCACTGCCACTATTATTTTTATTTTCTTCCTAGTGAATTTATTCCCTTTTCTCTGTGCCTCTTCTTTATCTGCCATTTTGTTTTATTCCAACCAAACTTAGTGCTCATCCACTATATACATTATCACTACTGATATGCTCTTCCTCCCCTGGGGCATGCTAAATATGTTCTTAGAATGTAACATAGCCCCTCACTTTAACAAAAAAAAGTAAACTGAAACACTGGAATTACTCCTTTCTGTGGAGTTTCAAAAACTGGAAACTACTGGAATGATTTGAAAAATTGAGGGAAGTATTTAAAAATACCAATGTACCAGTACAGTAAGTGTATAAGTGACCATTCTCGAGGCGAGGCAAAAGTATCTAAGCTGTGCATATAACTGGAGAATTAGGGCCACAATTACACATACATTTTAATTCATATTCTTAGACTTCTGCCCCTTAAAAAATATATCTCAGTGTCTGGAGAAGATTACTCTGTTTTACATATTTATATGGTGAGTGATCCAGATAGTGTTCTAATAAAAAGCAAATGTTATTAATTTTAGTGCATCAAAAGTGTGTATAAAACTGTGCAGTTGCTGAACTATGCTACAGAAATAAATCACAGCCTCAAACAATTAACCACTATTGCTGTTCTTATTATTTATTTGTAATACAAAAATAGCACCTGAAGAGCAAAGTGAGATGTGAACTTCATGGTGATAGGGAGCTGTACAAGCTTATAGTGAGAGACAATCCCTGTCCTGAGGAGTTTAAAGTCTAACTAGGCAAGATATAGAGGACAGAAGGGAAAAAGTATTATCCCTATTTTACATATAAAATGAGGCTCAGAGAGATTAACGAAAAGTGACAAGATTTCAGTAGCCTTTGTTTTTGAGTGCCTAACTTGAGACCTCTAAAATGGACTTTTTTTACAGAAAGTGTGAAGTTAAATGCCAATTCAAGAAACCAGGTCCTTTTGGTGTCTCACATCTGGCACCACAAATCAAGACACTCAAAATCACTTGGCACTTTAAAAGTCTTCACATAAATGCCTTGCCAGAGTTCACCCAGAAGCCTGTTACAGAGTCAAGAATTAAACCAAGATTTCCTGAACCTGATTCCAGTGCCTTAGTCACAAGACCAGCCTTTCTCTGACTACAGTCTTAAGTCACAAGTGGGAGGAGTTTATGACAAAAGTACAATTTGGACAAACATTGAAAATCAAAATTTCTCATAGCTTTGGTTTTTACACTCCTATGCTTTAATGTTCAGGGTAATCGCTGCATCATGGGTCAGCAGAGAAGTTTTCGGAAGAGGAAGATTTCATCTTGGTGCATTAAAGGGAGGAGTTTCACATCTGCACTCTCATCCAAAGTTTGCGAGTGTGCAAACTCTGATTTCTTATGGTGAGCCTTTCAATGGATTTTTTTCAGGATTATCCTAAAAGATGAAGTATGGGAAGTTTGCTCCCCTTCCCCACTTTCCTAAACTGAAAACAACAATAAAACATCTCAGCAAAATCTGAATGAGACGTTGTTTTCCAAAATGTTACATCTGTTCCTATTTAAAAGGCAAAATTACCTCAATAATTCTATTACTATTTATGCCAGTGTGTTTTTCAAGCAGTTATATAGAATGTCATAGTGTGGCAGAAATGTGCAGAACTATTGTTGTTTGTGCAGAAGCTGTGAAGTTTCTTCTGAAACATAGAATCACAAAAGCATTAACATTTTTGAAGTAAGGTGGGGGGTTTCCCCCCACATGACTAGACAAGTGTTGATGTGTTACTCTGGTGAACTCCCATGGAGGAAAACTTGAATGATGATCAGAGGATTTGACTTATTGTATTTAATACATATCCTTCCTAGTTATGAATGAAATGGAGGAGAAAAAGTTGTATAAAACCCCTGTAAAAAACTGAACTGCCGATAGAGAGAATTGTATGCAACTCATTTCACAAAACTTTTGGGGCCCATTTCTGCAGTCATGTATATATGATTCCCTTTGAAATCACTCTGAAGGCAGAATTGGACTCAACATGATGTGTTGTCTTGGTATGAGGAAATATTTAAAAATAGGCTCTCCCTAACCTCTGTTCACCCACCAAAAACAGATTTACTAATAAAGCAGGGGAGCTAACAGATTAATTGGGTTTGTTTTGCAGTGATTATGGATTTGAACGTTCAGCACCTCTGCAATCAGAATCTAGCAAATGCTTTGCTAACTTTTGGTTTAACCCAGAATCGCCCCCTGAAGACTGTGTATTAGGGCAGGCCTATGCAAGCAGCACAGGGTAAGTATTTGATATTTTACCAGCATTCAGGAGTGAGAGCACTCCAGCAAAGAAAATTGAGGGAAGGGCTAGAGCTTGCAGTAAGAGCCAGGGCACAGTCAGCTTGAATGTGTTTAATACTAATAGAGTGTCCTTTAGATAATATACCCTGGATAATATACCCTGATCTTTTTAAAATTTTTCTTTAAAAAATGTGAAAGCAAAAACATCAATCGTGCAAAACATGGTCAAACCCTAAGTGTCCATAAATCTTGTCAAGCTCCAAAAAAACATAAAATAGGCTTTGAAAATAGAGATTTTGAGCTTTTTTTTCTTCATTTATTTTGTAGTATATAATCTTTTAGAGATGTGATCAGCTTTACAGACCCCACACAGTGACAAAGGAGTGAAGGATCAGTATTGGGACAAGAGGGCCCACCTCTCAGCAGGTGCAGAGCCTATTCCAAATGGAGGATCTACTCAAAAGGAGACTCAGGCAGTCAGGGAGAGTTAAGGAAAGGCAATCCAAAGGGAGAAAGCCAGTTTGCAGGTTCTGAGGACAAAGTAACTCACAGGAGAGGTTCTGGGTAAGACCAAACTGGAAAGAAAGCAATCTGACCTTTACCCCTCCCTTGACTCCCTGCTGAAGGAGAATAGTAGGACCCTTGGAAGAGAGCTAGGGAATGCTCAGTTGATGGACTGAGCTGCTGTGACTGACTGGGAACTCCTGCTGGGAAACGTGGGCTATAACCCAAACTAAAGAGAACAAAGAGATAGGAAGCAGCGCAGGGGCACCAGAAGAGGCAACTGAGGGATTCCACAGCTCTCCACCTCAGGCTCTAGCCTGGGACCCCCTGAAGACAAAGTGCCTGGGCCCCCAATAGCCCTTCCTTCCCCTTAGCTCTCCAGTTGGTTTAGGAGAAATCTGAGGTACTGGGGAATTGATGGACTGGCTGCAGAGTGAAACCCCACTGCAAGCTGTAAGAATTGTTGAGCCAGGGCCTGCCTATTAGGACTGCTGGTTTCTGAGGCTGTCTAGACTACGGGGGTTTTCCGGGATACCAGAAGTAAACTGAACTGTAAAAACTCTGCCACATCCAGGGAACGCGTCTGCTCTTCGACTTTTTTTTTTGTGGAAGAGCAGACGTGCTCTTTTGGAAGCCCTGTCTTCCTCCTCCCACGAGGAAGAAGGGCTCTTCTGAAAGAGGGTTTTTTCCAAAATTTGGCCCAGTGTAGAAGGGCCAAATTTCAGAAAAGCCTCTTCTGAAAAAGCTATCGAAAAAAGGTACGCAAATTGCAGAACGCCATGTAGCCGCCCTTGTCATACTATCCTGCAGAGCCCCCGATGGTACCCCGGGCTTTTTCCGATAAAGCCCCGTAATGTAGACACAGCCTGAATGAAGCCTGCTGCTGGAGTCGCTTTTCTTTACAATGCTAAGAGTTAGAAAGTTACTTTAAAAAAAATGTGAAAGCTCAGATTCTTAAATAACCTGGAGCGGGCACTTTCAAGAAAGCGGCAATCATGAAGAGACTAGTGAAAAATCACTGTCAGCAAGAGTGCACGGCTTCCCCTTTGTCTCCTGCATGTACCCCTAAATGCTGTCTTTTCAGTGTCAGTGTTGCTGCTACTCCCTGGTCCAGCACCCTCGGAAACTGACTGGTCCTGGATGGGGGATTTTGCTAGACCAGGGGAGGTCATACCTGGCCCCTCTGCTACCACCACTATCCCCCCAATCCTGGACCGGCTGCTCGATGGGTCCCCCCCCCCTTGCCCTGGGCCTGCTGTCCCACCAGTCAGTTCCTGCACCTCCCCTTGATTGCCACAACAGCCCAGCTTCCAGCACACCAGGCTCCTATTCCCATTGGCAACCCACTGCTAGCAACCCACTATCCTGTTAGCCTGCTGGGCTTTTATCCACCAGCTCCTCACTGGGACTCTTTGGTCCTGGAAAATCTGTGGTCCTGCCAGGCCATGGATGTTGCTGGACCAGAGAATCTCAGTTTACAGAGGTTCAACCTGTATTACTAATAACCAGCTTCTTACAGAGCCTGTGAAGGAGCACGTGAATGTACTCCTGATAGAACAGCACATGAGGGAGATGCAGCATAGAAATAACAGTCCTCAAAGGCCCAAATTAAACAATCAGAAAAGAGAGAGAAATAGTCTTTTTCTAAATTATTTTCTGCAGAAGCCGTTTGACCTGATTTCCCTCTGATCTTTGGAACATTGACCAGCTCCCTTTAGAACTGAATTGCCATGTAGTAGCCATTGTTATACTATCCTGCCCCCCAGTGGTACCCAGGCTATTTTCCAGCCCTGTGTGCTCACCGCTCACTGTTTTATACAGGTACAGGAAAGTGGTGTCTAATGTATGTGAAGGTGGTGTCGACTTGCAGCAGAACTTAGCCCAGCACATGTGTCCACTGATTGCTCCCAAAAGACTGTTGATCAGCATCAAAGGAGAGAGCCTGGCTGTTAAACCTGGAGAAGACGTCACCTTTGTAGTGTCACAAGAGCAGGTAACAAAGAACTTCCACCTCTGAAAAATGGCGGTGCTGGTTTTGGAATTATCTTGAGGCATTTCAGTCATTTCTATCCTCTCTGGCTGATGGGTGAACTGGGATTAGCTCATGGCTTAGAAACAGGAGCACAAACCTTACTGTTGCTCTGTGCATTTACCAAATAGAAATATTCATTGAGCTACACAAATGACAGCTCAATCTAAGAAACTGGGTTCATCCCCACAGAAGCAATTTTTCTCCCCTTTTCCTTAAAGACATCATTAACCTTGAAATCCATGATACATGAGTTAAGCGTCAACTCCCTTGGTCTGCTTTGAATATTTCAGTCTTTAGTGTTAGAGAGGAGTCCAGTGAGATGTAAAGAAATTGTACTTAAATCATGTGAAAAAAGGAGTACAGACAACATTAATATAGATAAATGTTCAGCCTCAGTGAAGGAATTGGGGGGTGGGCAGGTTTGATGAAGTCAAGGAGCCTGAAGTAATTCCATGCATTTCAGCAAGGCAGTTGATAAAACTTGCATCACAGATTCCTTCTGGCCTGCAGATGGGGATTAGCTATCATCCTGGATTTTCAAAAGGGTTCAGCACCCACGTAAGTGTTACATGGAAGCTGCGAGTGCATCTGAACTTTATTTCAGTGCCTGAAATGGGAACTTGTATCTCTTTTAAACATCTGGCCCCATTTGTGGGTACTGAGCACCTAAAAATCTGTCCCTGAGCTTTTTTAATCTCACCTCTCAAAAAAGTGAATCACATCTTCTTAGTAATTGGGTAAAACACAAAATAAAATCACTGGGTAGCAAAGAATAATGATATCTACTATGTGCAGTCCTTATTGACAGATTATCCTGTGTTTACTGAAAGAGGCAATATCTTAATGGCACGACCACACTCTAAGAGTCAGATCTGTTAAGTCTGTGGTTCTTAACACTCATGAAGGGCCAGATTCTGCCAGGTTGAGTACTGTTATACTCTGTCACTAATCCCATTGATTTCAAAGAGTCTGAAAAAAAAATTCATGCATTTCAGTAGGCCTGCATGATTCATTCCTGCAGAGGCCAGTGGGAATACTTGCCAAATAAGTTACTACTTAATAGGTGGCAGAATCTGGTTCTACAAAATTATTGGACTGAATTATGCTAAGGTCAGATAGAGCTCCATTTGTTTTCCTAATTCTCTGTGCTGTCACCATTTCATTATTAGTAAAGAGACATTACTTGATTATAATCTGAGGGCTCAGTGATTTATCATTTCTATTAGGTGTGATGAGGCATCTACAATTTTTTTTTGTTGAAGTGGGAATTCTGAAACTTGAATGTGTTTCTCTGTCACCTGATAGAACAGCTAAAGCCATACAAAGATGCTAAAGGTCACAAATAGTATTCTATCCCTCTTTATTAGTGATCACTATACATAATATTCTGAACTGTAAGTTTCCTTTAAAAAAAATAATTTGCTGCCCCCTACGGCTGAATCCATAAATTTGTAACATTAGAAACAGAAGGTAAGTTTTGCACAAGGGATCAATTAGTGAGCTAAATGGGTATTTCCACTAACACCAAAGAGATGTAGTACTGTATCTATTGTCACGCAGTATTAGTGTATTGCTGCATGAATGCTGGTTATTAGTTTCACAGGAGCAAGGGCTTTGATTCACTTGTGTTTGTCTGGGTGTTACATTACCGAGTTTATAAATAACAAGAAGAAAATAAGGTGACCCGGGCTCTGTTTACTCAGTCAACAAAATGTATGACTAAACAATGTCAAGAAAATCGCCTATTTTCAGAAGAATTATGTCAATATTTCCAAGTTCTATTTAATTTAGCTGTGTGTTCCCCTTTTGTTATCAAACCATTATCTAACTATTTTGGAGAATGACATCAGAGCTTTGAAAACAAGAGAGCTGTTAAAAAGTATTACAGTAGGAAGGGCGCTGTGAGAGCAAACATTCATTAAAACTCAGATCTGGTTCATTAAAACTCAGATCTGGTTCACAACATAAAGCATTACCCCTGTTCCCACAGAAGAGAGTACTCAGGTGCTTTGCTAGCATGAGAAAGCAAGCAAGTAGTATTTTCATTTTAATGTCACCTAAAGGAATTGCTCTTATGAGCAGACAGCTAACTTATCTCCTTTGCTTAAACTCTAAGGCTACATCTACAACTACGGCCGTTTTTGTGCAAAAACCCACGGAGCGTCCACACCTCAAGCACATTTTTGCGCAAGTAAATTTATAGTAAATCAAAAGAACAGAGGGGTTTTTGTGGTTTAGGTATTCCTCTTTCTACGAGGAATAACTCCTTTTTGTGCAAGAGTTCTTGCACAAAAAGGTGTATGTGGACGGGCAACAGGGGTTTTTTGTGCAAAAAGCCAGTCAAAAAAAGCATGGGTGCTCTGGGGGCTAATAGCAATCAGAGCTTTTTTTCGAGAGAGCGTCCATGCAGTCTGGACTCTCTCTTGAGCAAAAGTGCATCACTTTTGCGATTTGCTTTTGTAATGTGGATGCACTCTCGCACATGATGACGTTTTTGCGGAAGATCTCTTCCGCAAAAAGCTTCTTGTGCAAGAAGCCTACAGTGTAGACATAGTCTAAGGGTATGTCTGTACTGCAGAGTTTTTCCAGAAAAACTACACTTGCGTGCACACTGCAATTGCGTTCTTTCAGCAGAATGTCGAAAACACAGGAGTTTTTCTGACAGCTGTAAACCTCTTTCTATGAGGAGGAAGCCTTTTTTCTGAAAGAGCTCTTTTGGGAAAAGGCATGTGTGGACGGGGAATAGGCTTTTTTTTTTCAAAAGAAGAGGCCTCCAGGAAAAAGCACAGGTGGCCTAATGGCCACTCTGTCCATAGTAATCACAACTTTAATGCGAGATAGCATCCAATCAATGTAGATGTCTTTCAAAAAAGCAGATCGCTTTTTCAATGCACTTTTACTATGTGGACACTCTTTTTTGAAAAGTTTTTCCAGAAGATCTCTTCTGGAAAAGCTTCTTCTGAAAGAAACCTTCAGTCTAGACGTAGCCTAACATGGTACAGGCAGTCCCTGGGTTATGTACAAGATAGGGACTGTAGGTTTGTTCTTAAGTTGAATCTGTATGTAAGTCGGAACTGGCGTCAGCCGCTGCTGAAACTGATCAGTTTCAACCGCG